GTGACGTGGGCGTAGACTATTGGCTCTTCAGAATGCGCGAGCGCGCGAGGGGGTACCCATCTGCGATAGCCTTAGAGGGCGGAGCTTACACGAAATAGAACTCTGGGTTCAGACCTCTGATTATGATGCCTTTTGGATAGTGGTGTCCAGTCCTGGTCATAGAGGGTCACTATCCTGCACATTTCCCTTGTTTTTCCTGCTTCAACACCTGACTTGAATGAATTTGCGATCAACAGCCCTCTGCAGAAAATGAGAGGTAGTTCAACCATAGAATCAGGTGTTTTGGAGCAGAGAAACACWGAGGATAGTGGCCCTCGTGGACCAGGCTTAGTTTTCACATCTCACCGGGAGGATAGACCCAGAACTCACAGGAAATGTTTTTATCCTCTCTGGCCTGGGAACACCTTGGTATCTGTCTGGGTTTTCCTCCTGCACCTGATGGGAACATTTGATGCTCGTCTAACAGTCCTGTTCTGCAGCTTTGGTCCTTTTAGCTCTCCCACTGGGTTGTAGGAGGAGTTTAGTTGTTAGATCTGAAGCAGTCCCTCACTTTTTATTTTTTCCTGTGTCAGGTTGCTACTTTCATCCTTCAGAAGATCCTGCTGGACGACACCGGCCTGGCTTACATCTGTCAGACGTATGAACGTTTCTCCCACGTGGCCATGATTCTCGTAAGTGTTCCCGAGCAGCGCGCTGTAACGCAGACGGATCCCCCCTAACGTCCCCCGTCCTTCTTCCCCCCGCAGGGTAAAATGGTGCTGCAGCTCTCCAAGGAGCCGTCGGCTCGCCTGCTGAAGCACGTCGTCCGCTGCTACCTGCGCCTCTCGGATAACCTCAGGTACGTTAAAACCTCAGTAACTTTACTCTGCCTCGGGGTTTGTTTCTAACGGTAATGCCAGGGTTTACCACCAGGGGGAGCCTTGGTGACAACTACACTGATTTTTTAAAAAGGAAATAATTTATTGGCACTTTAATTTGCTTTTTCAGTCATTCTTTGTGAATATTTGGTGGTTTTAACATCCCTGCAGTCCTAAAAAAACAAAAAGAAAAACACTTAAATTATTAGTTTGTGCTCTGGCAGCTTATAATGGGCAAAGTCAGGGGAAACTAAATTATTACGAAATAATAAATCCAACTTTAAGCTTCTTTAGGACTCAGCAGAACGCCTGAACAGAACAGAAAACTCATTTTATGACTGCGGTCAAGATTTTTTTTCTGATCTGTTAGTAAACTAGACGCTAGGATTTCTCAGTTCAGCTTCAACCTTTTTGCCAAAACTTACTTGATCTTTTTAAAATAAACAACTGATAAATGTAAATGTCTGCAGACAGTATATAGGGCTGGAGCAGGGTTGGGCAGAGTGCAAATAATCATCAGGAAGGCTTGAATCGATTATTTTTTGGCACTTGACGATTAACAAGTTCAAGCTTATATATATATCACAACAACACACGTTGTCTCAGCTGTACATAAAAAGAACAATGTAAAGAAGAAAGCAGCAGATTGTGTTGAATCACTTCATCACAGTCTCCCATCCTGAGCAAACGGTGGAGAGGAAAAACTCCCTGCTAATCAGGAAGAAACCTCCAGSAGAACCAGGCTCAGGACAGGAGACCATCTGCCTCGACCGGCTGGTTGGAGGACAGGAAAGAGACACAGACAAACACAGAAGAACTGGTCCAGGACTGGTCCAGGTGCACCTTCTTCTGGAAGAGACAAAGAAAAAACATGATAGAAATAATAACAATAAACATGTAGAGAAGAGAGACTAAAGACAACAGCAGAGTGAGGAAATGTGCTCAGTTAGTGCTGTGTTTTGGCAATAATTTGGCGATACGATACATATCATAACAGAGGGGTCACGATACGATATATCCCGATATATTGCGATTTTTTTGTCCAAAAATTCTGTTAAATAAAAACCTCTTACTGAAAAAAAAAGAAAAGCTAATGTTTGCTCACAATGCTAATGCTACCCTTACTCTCTGGCGCTCAAGAGGTAGAGGAGCCAAATGGCTGGCTCACTGCTGCCAACTAGTGGTCAGAGGCTGAACTACAACATAAAAATGAACGGTTGGCAAGAAGGTTGACATTTTAAACCTTAATAAAAAATCGATACGGAGCTTTAGAATATCGATACAGTATCGGGAAATGAAATATCGCGATATTTCAGTGTATCGATATTTTCTTACATCGCTACTAAGTCTATAGCAGCAGAAATGAAGAATAATTCAGGAAACCTAAGTCCAACTATAGGATTTATCAAAAAGGAAAGTCTTCAGTCTAATCTTAAAAGTAGACGGTGTCAGCCTCACGGACAGAAACTGGAAGTTGATTCCACAAGACACCAGTCGGTTTGCTCGGTGCTTCTCTCTGCTTCAAATTACGGCTGCGCAGTACATGTGATGGTAGAAACGATATGAAGCTGGCCTACGGTAGAAATTTACCCTCCACTGTCCTGTCATCAGTTACATCATCACACCTGTGTCGACATGACGAGTGTACAGACAACTGAGCAGGAGGAGATCAAAAATAAATGAAGAAATGAATAGTTTTAAAACACGTAAAGAGATAATAAATCCTCAAAATTTCCCCCTCCTGCTGTAGAAAAGTGACGTCGTGTGGCGGGACGCAGAGCGAAGCTTTAACTACTGTAGTTTTTTCACATCCAAGTTGTTGGAGAAAACATTTGTTTTTATGTATTGTTACCCACAGAGGTGATAAAAAAAGATGTGGACGTTCATTCAGTCATAAATCCATCTTGCTAATGTAACAGTTCTGCTCTGAGAGGCAGCAGAGTTCAGCAGGCTCATGTATGGCAGACAGATATTACATTTATTTGGCTTCACCACACTTACATTCCAGTTATCTGAAATTGTTTTATGACAGGACTATGTTTAGCTTAATGTCCTGTCACACTGTAACATTTTAGAATTGTTTTTATGTCTAAATGACTAATTTTACTTGAAGTTCTGGTTATAACATCTACTTTATTTTAATATTGTTGAAAATTTGAGAAATGTTTTTTTGTTGTTGAAACCGTTTTGCAATATATATAAAACCTTTTCTGTTATGTTCATTTGCACTACAGCAAAAATACTGATTTTGATTATGATTAGTTTTCTGCTAAATAAATGCTCTAAAAATTACATTATCTTTGCTTTTTATGATAATTTTCTACCACGATATGTACCGTTACTGTGAAGGGATTTGATTTTTTTTTTTTCAATTCAAAATTCTATTCAGTTCAAAAAATTTATTCATTTCCTTTCAGAATAAAAAACAAAGAAAACTTCATTACAATAATACACAATTTATATCTTAGAAAAACAAAATGAAAGGCAGCAGAAAAAGAAAAAAATCTTATGTCTGCTCCTTTTGTTCTCAAATATGTTTTCACTTTAAAGTGTGATTTACAAATAAACAATACTAATTAAGATTTAAAAAAATAATAATAAAAAAAAAACGTTAAATGAAACAGCAAATGAAATTTGCTGTTTCATACTGTGATATGAATTTGAGGTCATACCGCCCAGCCCTACTTCAAATATAATGAAAATTTATTAAAATGTTGTGTAATTTATTTATCATAACTGCAGTTTTACTTGGTCTATCAACACAATTMAAAAACTGATGTAAAGCATGAAGTCTGGACTTTCGACTCAGTTTGGAACAGATTTTTACAGAAAGCAAATCGTTCTCACTAAAGTGATTTAAATTGGTCATGTGACTTGGACATGCCAGMGGATTAATCGTCATATTAATCGTTATTGGCTAAATACCACAATTAATCATCATTAATTTCTTAGACTGGAGTCATTTTAAGGTGGCAGCAATCCACTTTAAATTTAACTCTGTTCAGATTAGCCATTAGCTTAGCTGTCTGGTCACATTTAAACTCTTTCTCCAGGCATCTACAGCAGGTAAGATATTGTTTATATTCCTCCCACAGAACCATCGATCTTTCCAGTTTCACATCAGTAACGATGGAGCAGTTTTCAGTAATTATAGAAGTTTGGGAGCTGTGGGAGTTAGGAAACTTTTTGTGTCTATAGCTGAGCAGAAAGCGGCYCCCCGCTCCGGTACTGCTAAGTACTTGTTGAGTACTTATGGGGATCATTTGTAATTATACTTTAATGTATGCAGCTTCCCCCATTAAGTCCTGGATGTTTGTTCGGAGCAGTTGAAACGTCCATCTTCATGTTTGCTTTGTGCTCTGGTGACCGATTTCAAAGTAAAAGTTTGAGTATTAAGTTTATTGGCTGCTGATTCCAACAGAAGAGGGAGGAAAACATGACTGGACTTCCTGTTCCTGTTGTTTCTGCCTTCTCTACACGTCTCGCAGCCTTTAATAGAGCTCACGAGTCTCTGTTTGGAGTCGTTTCAGGTTACAGCTCTCTGCTGCAGCCTCAGTTTATTTGACTGAGTGCCGATTCTGTGCGTGATGCCAGGAATGTCAGTGTTGGATGTCAGAAATGCAGCTCGCAGAGGAGCGGCCTTTAGATCTGAAGACGCTTCCTGGTGTGTGGAAAACAAAAACACAATTGTGCAAAAGGTTCTTGATACACCCTAAAGCAGGGCTTCTTAACCTTTTTGACCTCGGGGCCCAATTTATTGAACATAAAGTGGCACAAAACCCAGTCAGACATTACCATACGGATCAAAATGATAATTATTCTAATGCTTGGTTTAATTTTTTTGTATTTACATTTTAACTAAATTAAATACACTTACTTCGTAAGTGTATTTTAAGTACACTTAAAAAGTGTCAAATAATCACACGACATGATTATGACAAACAATTTTTTATATTGTAACCTGCCCATAACAATTATTTGAACAGTCAGTCAACAGACCACTCAGGCATATAT